GAACAAAAGATTGAAAAAATACAACAATCAACAGAAGAAAAGAAGAGAAGTGAGGGGGGGTTGGAGAAAGCTATCATTATTCTACCCCTAAAAATGCTACGTTAAACTACTCCTAGATAAACTCGTTGCGAGTGTTTGATGATTGAGAGATGTCTTTTGATCATTCTCCAAGTCCTCCTTTTATACTTGTTTCATGTTGTAACTATCAATCCATGATCTTTGCTCCATTCAATCATATCCCATATTTTCATAGGAATTACTTGAAGATTTTGTGCTTTGACTTGATATTGATCCCCCTCGATTTTAGCATATGATTTTTAATTGATTTCAACAAATATCTTTTTTAGCTTTATTTAATATTTTCAAGTCATATCATCATTTCTTCCATGCCACGTTACTAGCATACTTGTCATGCAACGTTAGCATACTTGTCGACAGAAATAATAATAATAAAAAAAATAAATGTAGCCAAGGTTATTCTTAAAAATAGTCTATAGTCATAATCGACAGACCATAATCGAACTTAGCGATAATCAATCAGGCCATAATCGACAGAAAAATAAAATGTGGTGCAAACAATGCCCCCTCCCTATTTAAATGGATTGAAGAATGAAATCCAATTAAATGATTTATAAGATGTTTTATCATAATCGACAGAAAAATATTTTACAGTACAAATAATTTGACTTCTTGAAAAGTTAGATTATACTCATAGTAATCTATCACTGTCGATTTGTGAACATTCCATCTTTGGCTCTGTTGAGTGACATAACAAATAGCCACATCTCTTATTTTTAAAACAAAACAAGTCTCTCTTAGCCATATTTTGGCTAAAAAGAATTCACTACATATAGCATTTTTCAACCATTGTTGTTTTTCAAATCATGTTAGCATGTTTGTCAACAAAAATAAAAATAAATGTGGTCAAGGCTATTCTTTGAAAATAATTTATGATTTCAATCGACAGACCATTATCGAACTTGGCTATAATTAATAGGCCACAATCAACAGAAAAATAAAATGTGGTTAAAATAATTAATTGGCCCTTTATCAATACAAAGTATAACCAATTGGCCATCGACTATTAAACTGACATGTGTCGACACTAAACAATTAGCCATTAAATTGGCCTTCATGTAAAGTAACCAATTGGCCATTGGCCATTATTGGTTTGGCCAAGTATTGGCTATTATATATCCATTTTTTTTTATTCCATCAAACTTACATAAGATATTATTTTTGTTAACCAGTTCATCAAAATTAACTTTTGATGTGAATCACAAACCCACAATGGTCATTGGGTAGCAAAAATCATAATATCAAATGATTTTAGAAAATCAAAACTTTTGACAAATTTAACGATGTCAAAAAATTCAAATTCAACAAATATGGGTTGTTCATAATTTTCAGCTATATTTGGCTTAAAATCATGCCCCCCTCACGTTCATAATTTTCGGATATCTTTGGCTTAAAATTATGCCCCCCAAGTGAATCTTCACCATTATTTTGTAATGAATTTTAAATTTTTTTTGAGAGAATGGGTTATTCTTCTTTTTTAACCATTAATGACTTGTCACATTTTGCCACTTTTGGCAAAACATCATGTCCTCCCAAGTGAACCTTTATCATCAGAATTCTTAATATTTTTTGAAATGAGGGGTTGTTTTTTTAATTTTAGACATTAATGGCCTATGAAAAATTTTCAAAGTCATATTATCTTCATGACTTGGTATGCCAACCCTTTGAGCCACATACCTTGGTTCTTCATGAATGATTGGCTCTTCAAAACTATGTATTAACCTTATGAGCCACATTATTTTCATATCTTAATTTTTCATTGGCCATTATGTCTTCTAATTTTTTTTCTTTAAATATATAATTTCTTCATCAATTAGGAAAATTTGGCCTTTAAATTGATGAATTTTTTCATCACGGTAACTTAAATCTCTGTGTAAAATAATATGGAGATGATGAAATTATTTGAAATCTTTGCCTATAAAGAGAATTAATTTCCTCTTTTAGGGCCAAGATTTTACTCGCAGTAATAAATTTCGTCATCACAATACCAAATCATTCTTTTCACGTCATTTGTTATGCGATTATGTTGACAATAAGTAGTAGAACCACCATCATAATACTGACAATTTTCAAAATATGATGTATTTCACTGATAATCTGTATTGATGGAAACACTGCCACTTAATAAATTTTATCATCACAATACCAAATCGTTCTTTTCATATAATTTGTCATGCCATTATGTTGACAATAAGTAATAGAACCACCACCATAATACTAACAATTTTCAGAATATGAGGTATACCACTAATAATCTGTATAGATAGAAACACTGCCATTTCATTGGCAGTTTGCATCCATGGGTTCAGAAGATGTAAACATACCTGTTGAAGGCATGATTCTATAAGGATAAGTCTATTTTTTCACCATCATCACTCCAAGTTAGAATGGTCCCACTGGGCGTGCCAATTTAGGCCTCGTTTGGCAATATCATTTTTTAGTCTAAAAGTTAAAAAGTCACTAAAAAAATTAAAAAGCCAACAACTTATAACAAAAAGTTAAAGATTTTTTTTTCTCTCTACTTTTTGCACATCTTTTCTTAAAAAACTAAAAAATATCCCAAACATACTAGTTTTTTTACATCATATTTTAGCCAAAAAGTTAAAAAGTTACTAAAAAAGTTTATTCCTAAACGAGGCCTTATGTTGGTAAAAATTCAGTTCAAGCCCAATCGACAACAATTGATTGACAGGTCTAAATAGATTTCAATAAACACAAATAAAAAATCAGGTTTTGTGGTTGAGTTCTTTGCCTTAAACAAATTAAGGACTTCCCTGGAGGTGATTGAATGAAGAAGAAAATAAAACAGAACAGAACAGAATATGTATTAATTCGAATGAATTGTCATTTGTCACTAGTTACAAGAACTTAAACAAGAACAAAGATTGAAGAAATACAACAATTGATAGAAGAAAAGAAGAGAAGTGGGGGAAAGTGAGAGGTTTGGAGAAAGCTATCACTATTCTGCTCTTCCTAGATAAATTATTTGCAAGTGTTTGATGATTGCGAGACGTCTTTTGATCATTCCTCAAGTCCTCCTTTTATACTTGCTTGGCCACCTTATGTTGTAGTTATCAATCTATGATATTTCTTGATCTTTGCTCTATTCAACCATATCACATATCTTTATAGGAACTACTTGCAGATTTTGTGCTTTGACTTGATATTAATCCCCCCTCCCCCCATTTTAGCATATCGTTTTTAATTGATTTTAACAAAAATCTTTATTGGCTTTATTTAATCTTTTCAAGCTATATCATCATCTCTTCCATGCCACGTTACTAGCATACTTGTCATACTATGTCAATATACTTGTTGACAGAAATAATAATAATAAAAACAAATGTAGTCAAAGTTATTCTTAAAAATAGTCTATGGTCTTAATCAACAAACCATAATCGAACTTAGCCATAATCAATCAGGCCATAATCGATAGAAAAATAAAATGTGATGCAAACAGATATATTCTTAAACAAATAAGACTTATTGAGTTCAAATAATTTTCATGTAATCTTTCAATAAATAAGTACTAAAAAATGGAACTTGTCTCAATTTTTTTTATAAAAAACTACAAACACACTAAAAAAGCAACAAAAAGGATTCGTTTAACCTTTTATACTAAAATTTTATATTTCTGACTAATTTAATCACTTAGGACTCCAGACAATTGCTCCAGTGATTTTAACGATCTGAATTGTAACAACTAATCGCTATCTTGTGCTAACGGAAAAAAAAAACCAAAAACTAACCCCAGCACCATTAATCGATTTCCAAACAAGAAGGCTAGTCAAACTCGAGTCGAGATCCTCACATTGGAGGATTTCTACTCAGCTGTCCATTTGGTGGACCATTAGACTCATTTTTTGATTTAATTTCGATAATCTGAACCGTTCACATTTTAAGATTTGTTGAATGTATCATACTTGTAAAAAATTAAGTTGATCAAATATTGGAAACCACGTGTTCAGATCATCAAACTAAAAATTGTTTATTAAGCGCTAGTTTGGCTATCATTTTGAGACTAAAAAAGTATAAAATGACAAAATAGGCTAATAAGATAAAATATCACATTTAACCCATAATCATTATACTTTTTCTTTTACAAAAGTCAAAAAAATCAAAAAATTTACACCAAACGAGACTAAAAAAACCAAGCTAAAAAAGTCAAAAAAAAGCAAAGCTAAAAAAGTCTCAGTAGAAAAAAGTTGACTATATTAGCCAACGCTAAACAAAACTTAAAAAAATTTAATAAACAGTTTTATTTTTTAATAAAATGGTTTTTAGCTTGATGATCCGAACACATGGTTTCCGATATCTAATCGACTTGATGTTTTATAGGTATGATATACTCGACAAATGTTACAATACGGTTCGAATTATCGAAATTGAGCTCAAAAGTGGGCCCAATGGCCTACCAACTAGGGAGCCAAGTAGGGATCCTCCAAGGAGAGGTCAAACTCATGTTTTGTAATTGAACATTCGTTTGGCATAAATTAAAATGAAACTTTTTAATTAAATTAGTTATAAAAAAGATAAAATAGACTTTTTAGCCCAAGACAAAATATCACATTTAAGTCATAATCATTTTATTTTTTCTCTTATAAAAGTCAAAAAGCCTATTCTAAAAGAGACTTTTTAGTCCCAGACTAAAAATAACAAAAAAGCTAACGCACATCTCAAACAAATCATGTGTAATGTTAAGAGATTATAAAAATTTTTATCAAATATTTTATATGAATGTAAGACCTATATAATATATATTTTACAATCTCATAAGACATTTAGTAAAAAATTTAATAGAATTTTTAAGATGGTTAATATTTTTCTTTGTGATTTGAAAGGCAACGACCACTCTAGTGGGACACACCCAATCCCAGCACTATCAATTTAAAATTATTGGGCCACAACACCACTTGACTGACCACCTCTACCACTACACCACAGTCAACAGACTAGATACATTGATTGAGATAAAGAGAGCCAACTGTTGGTAATAATTGCGTATACAGCTTCTTTCAATTCTCCCAAATTTACACCACCAAATTAAGATAGAAGATTCTTCTTTCAGAATCAAGTTCCCGTTAATACACATTTCTCTTTTCTCAGCCAACCATAAAACTCATCAAAAGACCTAACTCTTCATTCTTCTCAAAGGTACTTGTGCTTCTTCCTCTCCTTTTATATGTACATATGCGTGTCGATTTCGCACTTTCTTTTTTTTTTTTTTTGAAATTTTTTTTTTTTTTTTTTTTTTAATCCTTAGATTAAATACGTGTCAGGGGTTTAATTAAATCGTTCTGCTTTTATGATTTGGTTGGTCTTGCATTCCATTTGCTTCATGTGCAAGTACTGGAATTAGTGCTGCTGTTGTTTGGTTTTGGTTTGGTGTGAATTTGAATTTGTTTGTATTAAATTCTCTATCTTTTATTCTTGTACAGATTATAAATGTATTGTTTTTGGGTTTAATGGATTTAAGATTTGATAATGTTTGACTATTTAAAAAAAAACTAAAATAAAATGAGAAAAAAAAAATGTTTCCTTGGGTTTGTTAGGCCAAGACAGGAAGAAGTATGTATTTCTAAATTTTTCTCTATTCACTTCCACTGGAATTATGTCTCTGTGATGTCACAAGTTCTGGCCTGGAGATGTTCCCAAACCAAACCAAGCTTAAGTCCCATCAAATGGGGTCGGCTACATAAATCATTTTTCTTCACTCGACTCTATCAATGGCCATTTGGTTAGTCAAATTAAAGAGATTCATATCTCCATTTACTACACTCACCCATGCCAATCTAACTCTAGCCCTTTTCCTAATACTTCCATCTACCGTAACTGTATCACATCTCTTCACTACTGCCTTTGTTAGTCTCTGTTGTATACGACCAAACCATTTCAATCTATTATCTCTCAACTTATCTTCTATCAGTGCTACTCCTACCCATTCATGACTATACTCATTCCTAATTCTATCTTTTCTAGTTTTGACACACATCCACCTCAGCAACGCTAATCTTATCTACATGTTATTTCTTAGTTGCCTAACATTTATTCCATACAATATCACTGGTCTAATAGTCGTTCTATAGAACTTTCTTAGTCTAGTGGGTACTCGTTTATCACACAGTACCCCAGACTCTTCTACTTAAGTCACTCAACCTTAATTCTATAGACCACATCCGCTTCAATCTCCTCAACCATTGTGATAATCAATCATAAATAGTGAAAATGTTCACTCTTAGGTAGTTCTTGGTTTTCAATCTTCACTTCTTTTTTGCTTCCATTGTTACTGTTACTAAAATTACATTTCATGTACTTTGTCTTAGTTCTGCTTATCCTAAATCCTTTAGATTTAAGTGTTTCTCTCTAAGTCTCCAACTTAATGTTAACTGTCACGCCCCGAAGATTTACACAAGAAAAATTCACCAACTTCCATTGTTTAATGTAAAAGGAAATCAAATCTCAATATTGACGTCATTCTCAAATCCCCAACATATGTATTCATTAACCATCAAGAGATTTACAAAAGATATTTCACGTGTGAGTATACATTTAACATCCCTAATAAATGAATTTATAGCATGTGGCATAATAAGTCATGTACAAATAAATGCCCTCAAGGACTACAAATTTCAAGGATTAAGTCCGGTTACACAAAAATGGTTTTCCGAACCCATACATGTAAAGCCCTTGACTTGTCAAAACAATTACAACAAAAGAAAAAAGCCTTGTGCTCTCAAAACATATTCCACGCCTCTAACTCGGCGGGATCACCACATCATTTCTTACACAAAATAGGAAAAATCTTCACAAAATATATACATTTTATACAATTTCATGGGATGAATGCATATGCCATGCCAGATTCAAAAACATACATCTCTACCTTTTGAAACTTTTGTGCACAATGCAATCTTGAGAATTTAACAATTCAATAATTTCAATGTAGTTCAAAGGGGCAGTAAATACGACTCAGGTAATCCCTAGGTTGGTGTCTGCAAGTAGGCATAACAAGCACTACCAATTCCCACTTTACCGGTAGATAACCAGAAGGCACGTGGTATTTCCTCCACACGTGTTTTCGGTCTTTCACCATGGGCACTCGGGCCAACTTTACCAATACCAATTACATCCCCTATCCGAATTTATCAATGTCTTTACCCCAAAAACAAATCCATATGATATTGTCTCACAAAACAATTCCCTTTCTCAAAGAAATACTTTTTCCAATGCAATATTCAAAATCAATTGCATTAATGATAAAATGGAATGACGATGCAATGTCCAATGCAATAATAAAGTGTCATATTAAACATCTCAACAATGACAATTCGGAAGGTGGTGATAATTAAATCAAGTGCTGATGCAATATATTTCTATATCAATGCCTTGAAATTTCTTAATTCATCTACACAATCCTCCATTGTGATCAAATTTCACATCTTTTATCACATCATAATATATTTTTCCAAGAGGCAATATAACAATATCAACATTCATGTATTCTCCACACGTTAAATATCATTTTTAGTATTTGGTCTTTCCACAATAACAACAAACTATTGTTCTAACTGTCCAATTCTATAATTTCTCATTTTCTCATGAAATCTCTTCATTTGATACAACTATAGAATTTCATCCATCAGTTACTTACATGGTAAATTATCAAGTATCAATTTCACAATATCACAACTTTTTTCCAAAATTCCCAAATTCTAGGGTTTTCATCAAAATAAAGTTTTTGTTCCATTTTTGAAAAGATTTTTCCAAAACAACACCCACACCCTAGGACATACTCATATTCTCAAAAGTTTATGGGAAAAATAGATGAAATCCACCTCTAACATCATATAGGGTCCAACAACCCAAAATCATGACTCACAATATGATGAAATACTCAAAACATATATAAACTTGCAAAAATATATATGTAACTCAAAAATTATCCCTATCTCAAGTTTGGGAGATGAAGAGAATGAAAACCCTAGAAATCAATGTTGGCAAAAACATGATCCAATTGGTTATAAATGTAGCCCTCGTCGCCCCTCTTCGATTTGGTGTAAAAAGCCCCCTCAAACTCTTGAAGATTTGAGCTAATTCTTAAAGAGAAATTGCATTTGGGTGTGTTTTTTAGAGAGAATGGAGAGAAAAGATGAATATATAGAGAGAGAGAGGAGAGAAAAATCTGTGCAAAACAACTTTTGGCATCAGTTTTGAGGAAAAGAGCATGGAAATCGAGATAGAAGCGGCGAAATCTGCCCGAGTGGTTACAATTCCGCACGAGCGGAAAATTTTGCCTTAATGGTGGATTGCTCCAAAGAGTTGCCTAGAAAAATCACCCAAAATCCGCTTGAGTGGGACCCAAAATCTGCTCAAGCGATTTTCTGCCCAGAAAACCTTGAAAAGTTTGAAAAACCTTGTGAGGATCTCTACTCAGGCAGTTTTCAATTCCGCATGAGCGGTTTTGCCCAGAATTTAGAAAATGATTTTGCAAACCAAGGCAAGTTCTAGTGTCCAAAACTCAAAATTTATAACCCGAAAAAGTTATGAGAGGTTAAGTAAGAGTAGAAAGAGAATCTCAACGACCTAACACGATAAACCAAACTTCGAAAGAAAAGCATACTACCCTGCTACACAATACTATTCAAGCCCCAAAACCTGGGACATCACATTAACTCCTTTTCTAATCTCATCCACTAACACGATTCATCTACAAAAAACATACACCATGGCTTGGAGACGTTGCTGATAAAAAATCATCTCTTGAACAACCCTTCTTCTCCTTAACCTTCTTTACCAATTGAAGCCACTATTCATCTCAAGGACTCGAATGACCTGCACAACACAAATCCATTAGAACAATCAAATAACAATGATTATAGATGTAACAAGCATAGTTTAGGGGGGCCTAAATGTATACATGTTGGAACTTAACAATTGAATATTTGTACCTTGTTGTAACTTTGTTTGAGGCACAATATTCAACACACATCTGCAAGGATCCATCTTGTTTCTTTTGGAACATTACAGAGGCACCATATGGGGTTTTGGATCGTAGAATCAACCCAATATCTAGCATAGAATTTGGTTAGAACTAGGAGGGAATCTAGTTACTTTGAGGAGTAAAACGCAGGTTGTGGTTACTAGATCTACTACCAAAGCTAAGTATGGAGCTATGACTCATGGCATTTGTCAGCTTATATGGCTTCAAGTTTTACTAGCGGCTATGAGGTTACATGATGTTAGTCTTATGAAATTGTATGGTGACCACAGCTTCCATCAATATTACTCGCAGTCAATTGTAACATGATAGGACAAATCACATTGAAATTGACATATGCTTCATTAAGGAGAAGTTGAGCAAGGATTTAATATGTATGCCTTTTGTGAGATTTGAAGACTAACTAGCTGATGTGTTTACTAAAGGGATTAGCAATAAAGTTTTTCATCTTGTTGAGTACAAGTTGGGCATAAGACATATCTATGCACCAATTTGAGGGGGATTGTTATGTGTTATTTCTTTTACAGGCATTTTTGTACATTGAGCACAATTAATATGAATATGATCGAATGAGGGAGAGAACCTGATGTAGGATGAGTAGGGGTTGTTTCCCACAAGTAGTGAGCTCGTGATAAAAGACTTATAGGGTTGGATTTATTAGGATTTTGTAATTGCAAAAGTATTAAAAATATAGGAGTTTAGGGTTTTTGAAAGGGTAAGATTTTGAGAATGAAAACACAAGTGTTTAGGGGTTGTTGGCGGGCTGTTGACTGGTTGTTCTAAGCACTGTGAATAGTGACGTGAAGAGTAACTTTGCTAGAGAGAAGAAAGAGAAGTAGTAGAAGAAGAAGAGAAAGAAATTGGTGCTTCACCTTCACAAGGGTTAGGCCAATCGTGGAAACACAATCTCAAATTTTCATAATATCAACTATTCTATTGAATCATTGAGATTACACATATTTATAGGCTAAAGACACTCCTTATTCTGCAAGGACTAGAACTCAAATTTAGAAACTAAAAATATTTGGCAACTACTAACATACTATGACTTCCAATTCTACTTCAATCATAATAGGAAACTTTAATGACTTTAAATTCTACTTCGATATCAAAATAGCAAACTTAGACTTTTGGCCACTAAGATTATTTTAGATATAATAAAATACATATATAATGATCCATTTAATAACTTGACCCAAAATAAAACCCATAAGCAACCCTACAACCCATGTCCAAGAATATTGAAATTACCATAATATCCCTTAACTACTGAAACCTACAATAATGATATAAAGACTCAAAATTATTCCAAATATTCAATTTGTGATGCCCTAAATGTGCTTCATGTGAAGTTCCATATTAACTTTTTTTCTTTTTTCCATGATAATCATTAGAACCCTAAGGGTACGTTTAGTACACATGAATGGAATGAAAGAGGCAACAAAACATAAGGTTGAATGGAATGGAATGCCTATTCCCATTTCAATTTATTTCTGTCTGGCGGTTACTACCTAAGAGAAAATAGGAGCAGTGCTCATAACTGCTTCCTACTATCTAGCTTTTTACCAGGTCTATCCCCTAGCCATTATACCCAACGACTTAGGCTTTGAACACTACTACTTAAGCCTTGTGCACCCCTTGCTGGAACATGATTCCATGTGTCAGCCTCCTATTAGCCTTGCCATTTTAGGTATAAATTGCAAGTTCCTCTCTTTTGGCTCACAATGTTTTCTTTATCTCTTTCAATCTCTCTTAATATCTTTTGTTTCATTCGTATTTTTTCTTTCTAAATCTAACTGTAATTGATGGGTAGTCGACTACTACTTGAGTGAGAGAGAGTACCTACTTAATTTCTTTAGATGCTGTCCAATCAACAGCCATTGGTGTTTTGTAGGTTTTGCAGCTACTGAAAACTATATGACTTCTTGGTCCTTTTTGATTCCCTTATATTTTTGAGTTATTACAGTTTTCTGCAAACAAGTTTAGAGATTTTCCAGCTTATCCATGGCACATGTTAGCATTTGTGATCAATACAAGCTAGAGAAGGAACCAAAGAAAGCCAGTAATGGTACTAGAAAAAAAAGAAAGAAAAAGGAGTTCATTTTCTAGTGGGAAATGACATAATAGAAAGTACATCTGGCATGTCGTAGGATAGCAACTTCATTCCAGGAATTTTATTTGATTTGCAATTGCTTGTTAAAATTACATGCTTGGTTTTTATTGGAATGTATCCCACATCGCCTGGAGTTGTCCCATCTATGCTAGTTATAAGGCTCCAGTTTTCCTCTTATTATTACCTGGGTTTTTAGGAGAAGTGTGGGTTGGGCTTTTCAATTTGGTATCAGAGCATGGTTGGGCCTATGGTTGGTGTGCCGTTTGTCCGACTACTATATGTTGTGGTTCAGGAGGGTGTGTTGGAATGTGTCCTTCATCACCTAGAGTTGTCCCATCTGTGCTGGTTATAAGGCTCCAGTTTTTCTCTCTTTAATACCTGGGTTTTAAGGAGAAGTGTGGGTTGGGCGTTTCAATTGTTTCGTCCCTCTGGTTGCCTCTCTCTATCTCTCAGATATAATTATAAGTACATGATTTGTGAAATGACCTGAACATATGGTGCGTAGGGAGTCTAGGACCCAAACGTTAATACCTGACTGGAGATTCTAATACCTGTTTATTAAATCTAGTATAAGTACATTCAGGGTCCATTTTGAGATGCCAATTCAGAATGAGTACTTATGGGTGATGTTACACCTTCTGTTCTGTTTTAACTTTTTCTCAACTCATGCATCAATTTCATTTTTAATTTGATGTTGTAATGTTCTGCAGAGATGGGATTCATTCAAAGAAAACTATGCATTTTATTGCATTGAGAACTGAGAATAAAGTCTGAGCTTGGCCAAAATCATGCCTTCCAAGATGGAGTTGGTTTTTGAACTCCTGGTATTGGCATGTTTGTGTTCTTTTGTGGCACCTAACCCTCAAGGTATGATGTCTATCCATTGTTTTAATTCAATTAGACACTGTTTAATGCCAAGCATTTATACTCCAATTTTAATGGCAGCTCCACTCATGAAAAGAGAAAGAAATGGGCCTAGTATCTGTTGTTCTTTGACATCATTGTTATAAGAGATCTTAGTTTCTAGTTGAACCACAACCTGATTATCGCCCTCCTCACCTCTCTCTCTCTCTATATATATATATATATATTATATACACACACAAACACACAAGATTTTGCATAATGCTATCTACTTGTCTTTCTTCCTTGCTTTTCATTCTTTCTTGTTCTCTTTCTCCATTTGCCCTTTCTTTTTCTTCTATGGGTGTGCTAAATAGCACATTCATATTTTTTTTTAATAATTAATAAATAGCACATTCATGACACAAGATACGAACATGGTCTGATGTGGATATGCCAGCATAGCATGGAAATAATTACTCATATTGGTCTAATGTAATGAAAATTTTTTTGCCCGGTCAAGGAAGATAGGATTATGTTACTGGTCCCATAATTCGACCCACGGATCCTTCGGTGGAAGTTTAAAGTTCAGTACCATTACTTTGCCTTATGTTTCCTCATCTTTGTAGATTGCCGACTTCTTCACCAAGATTCATACTTCCGCTCGTTTTTAGTTCTTGCTTGACAAACTCAACATATTCTCAAGGCTCGCATCGTGAGTTTGGGGGGATGGATGAAAGGAATGTTTTGTTTTTGGAAGTTTGCTTAGATTGGGTAGTTTCCATATAGTGTGTAGCCTTTAGGGTTTTTGTCTTCTATGTCTATAGGTTGTGTAATCGTTGTAAAGAAATCAATCAGAATAATACAAATATGTCGTTTTCTCTTCTCCCAGCTTACCTACACTACTATCACACTTTTCTTCTCTATCCCAACCTTAATGCACAATCCCTCACTCTTATTGTTGAGCTCAATGTTGACCTCCATCACCATTGTTAGGTTTTAGCCCAAAGGCTCCATTACTAAATTGTTATGTATTTGGCTTAGTGGAATGATTATAATTTGTAGTGTATAGAGAGGAATACAATGGGATCTAGAGAGCAAAATTGATGGTCAGAGAGTACTGACAATTAGATAAAGTGAGAGATAGATAGAACCACAATTTATTTATTCTAAGGAACCCATTGAAGGAGACATGAAGATAGTGTATGTGAGTGTGTGTTTTAGAGAAAGTGAAAGATTGCTTTGGAAACATCGGGAAATGCTGAGCTCAAATGCAATAATGTTGTTGCCTTTGCTATGACCACTTATTTGTACATATATATATTCAAATGTATGGGTTTGTCGATTGACAGAGAAATTAGAAGATGAGTGGAGAAAGAGGTGGTATTGGGTTGTGGTGAATTGGCCAGTGGTGGAAGGTGGGTGGTGTGATCGTTAAGAGATGTTACAGTAGTGCGGGCAGTAGGTGGGTATTGGGTTCCATTGTTTGAGAGAGATTGTAGTGGTAGTAGCGATGAGTGGGTGGTGGGTTCTGGGTTGTGGTTTTTGTTGAGAGAAAGAGAGATTGGGCAGAGATAGGGTGATCGGAGAGAGATATAGAAGGGATATAATTCGGGATGCTCAAAGAGAGGAGTGGCGATCATCAGAGAAAGAGAAGTTCTAAATGCGTAGTAGTCAACCCTACAAAGGTGGGGGGGTGGAGAGATTAAGGAAGATAATGGTGTGGTGTGGATTGAGTGTGGTCAGCCCTACCATCATTGAAGAAATTTATTAAGTGGTAAAATAAGATTTGAGTGTTTCAACTTACAACATGTCTGCATCTTTTAAAGTTAATTTGTGTAGTATTTTGTAAATCTTCCACTCATCATATATCATTGTAGAGGAATATTGCCATGACTCTTATTTATAGAAATAAAACAAATATTATTACTACTTTTGAATGCTATATCCTCTTTTTTTTAGAAGCTTTTGAACACCATATCCTTGATATTTGTTATTCACAAAAACGAACAAAAGAAGAAAAATAAATGTGTTAGTGTTGTTGCTTGTCATCATACATTGCCCCATGTTTCAAAATTTAACAATGTAATTCCTCATAATTATATATATATATATATATATCATAACTTAAGATTTTTTTGAAAACATAAAAAATGATTTTATTTGTCGAGCTTTAAGCGAGAAATCGGTAAATGAAATACGAGGATCAAGTTCAAAAATCTGTGAATAATTTGTTTTATGCCATTTATGTTGTGAGATAATTGAGTTTTAAAGTTATTATGGTATCACTATAAAAGAAAATAACAATAAAAATACAAACTAGTGCTGGTGGTGGTGCAAAGTGTTGATGGGATCTTGGGGGAAGGTCGTGATAGGTTTTAGGAGAGATAAAGATTGAGTGGAAGACTATTCTATGTTATTTAGTTGACTTTTTGACATAAAAAAAATTCGTTTTCACATTACAAGATACTCTCTCAAAAAGGGTAAAAATGTAATTTAGTAACCTCCGTGAATGCCTTTATCAGACAATGTCTGACAGTGGAGGTGAGTGTAATTTTCGATACAACACAGGTGATGTCTCTATTTTCAACAAACCATGGGGTAGTCAGTGTAATTTCAACATACTATTAGTATTGTGTAGCAATAACGATAACCTTTAGGTAGGGGTGGGCGTCGTGTCATGTTGTGTCATGTCGGATTAAATTTGTGTTGGAATTATCTCAACACTAACCCAACCCGTTTATTATTTCGTGTTATCGTGTCATGTCACTTTCGGTCCATGCTTGATTTGTGTTGTGTTAATGCCATAATTTTTTTTTTACCCTTAATTAAAAATACCAAATGTATGGAAATTTTTTTCCCCAAATCTTGTATATTATCAGAGCTTAGGTGCAAAATGTCTTTGGTTCGAGGCTCTCCATTTGTAGTTGTTTCTCTGTTGGCACTTGGTTTCTTTACATGTTTGAATGTCCATATCTTCACGTGTAAGATGGGATTTCACGTGATGGAGGGAGTTGGAGAGCTTAATATGCCATCTGATAACAAAGAACATATATTTTGTGTATTTCAAATGAATCTCTGAGTGCAAATATATATAACCTAAATATCATAGGGTTCCTTTTCTAATAGTTTAAGCTTTTGGGAGTACTGATGACCTCATGTGTTGACTACTCCAAAAGGTTAAATTTTTAGGGAGGGTGTGACTTATTTGTTGATATTTTTGACACACCTCCTCATTTGTAGTTTGAACTTCCCTCCGTGGATGGGAAAACCATGAGCTAGTACTATATTTAGTGGTTACAAGGTGAGATTGAATCCTTATACTTTGATACTATGTTAACAACAAATTGTTCTAAAAGCTTAAGTTATTAGAGATGGCGTAATTCAATTATTATAATTTCAGCAGAAGTGTTACAAGAATAGTTTTAACAGTTTTGGTTATGTTTGTAGTTTGTTTTATGTTATTATGGGTGTAAAATAAGATTAGCCCCCCAACAATGAAACCTTTTTTTAAAAATAGGGTAAATTACGCTTTTCCATTTTCACACACACACACACACACACTTTGCGCTTTTATGTTTCAATTTTTTCCTAATTTACCCCTAAAGCTAACTTATATTCAAAATTAGACAGAAAATACCACGTTAGTTGCCACATGACAAAAAATAGCTTATTATACTGGGGTTTGGATTTGTGTCAGAAGTGTGAGATATGTATAATAAAATATTTTTATGCCAAGTGGCTATCAATGTGTCATTTTTTGTCAAATTTTGGACATAAGATAGCTTTTGGAGTAAATTGGGAAAAACTTGAAACATGAAGGGCCAAAGTGGGGGAAAAAAACTTTGAGGTCCAAAGTGGGAAAATGGCCAAATATAAAGGGGTAAAGTGTAATTTACCCCAAAAAATAAAATAACATCTCATTCTCCTCTTCTTTTCTTTTTCCTTCCATCATGTTTGTATTTTTTTTTTTAAAAAAAAACTTAGATCAATATAATTTATTTGCCTACAGTGGGTTCCAAAAATTTATTGCAAGAGCGAGATTGTGTTGACATTGCTTCCATTTGATGTTGGTCAAGTATCTGAGAAGCGTTGACAAAGTGTCCAAAATTATTAAACATATTTTCACAATGTAGTAAAGATATGGATATGGGACACGGATGCAAACACGCTATTTCAAAACATACATGCTGGAGCATCAAATCCCAAAAATGCAAGCCATTAGCATGGCAGGGACAAAATATATGAATATAATCTGATGTATGTCTCAGCTATACAACTTTGATTAGTCTTTGAAGTTTTTTGTGTTGAGAATCACATGAACTGGGAAGTCAAGTTCAAATAGTTTATTAGATTATTGTTGCTACGCCTTTACAAAGTGATCCTATTTTATTCCGAGAAGTGTGCATTGTGTACTTGTGGTTCCATGTGGTTAATGCAAGTTTTTCAGAAAATAAAAAATAATGAAAGAAATGCTGGACACTTTGGATTGTGTTGGGTAGTATTTAAGATGGGTTGTCAAATGGTCCAAAATGATTGAATTTATTTTTGAATCATTGACATGTCCATGGGGTATTTAACATGTGTCTAGGAGTCTCTGAAATGTTGGTGTTTTGTGTGTCTTAGTTTTCACATAATGAACAGTTAGATTTAGTAAAACGAAAAAAAGAGAGAAAAGGGAGGAAAAGAAAGACAAACGTTGTACTAGATTTAGTTTTCACATAATATAAAGACTAACCTTTATATTAATCAAGTCATAAGTACAAAAATGCCCTTGGGATAAAATAACATAAGACTTAACTGAATTTATCCAAGAAGTGATTGGTCACCTGTTTGGAAGTTCAGCGATCCTTGGGTAGTGGGCATCAGTGGGTTGAATCACTGGAAAATATACTCTCAAATTGGGCCTCCATCGTTTGCAAATGTACACAACAAAGCCAAAGGACTATTCACTTTTCTTAAATCCTTTTATGGTTGAAAGAATTCTATCAAATGATATTAAATTTCTATTTTTTTTATCAGTGACAATTATTTTGTTATATAAAAATTAGCGAAAAAAGGAAAAAAACAATTCTAAAGGGAGTAAGAACTTTCATTAAACTGGATTAGGGTTTTGGACATGGAAATGCAATACTTTCACATTCTTCAGAGTGTGTGTAGGGGTAGGCTTATATAGATGACTTGGGTGGAGTACGCAGTGGTAGTTCTCATTGCAAAAGTTGCTCTCTTTTAACGGAAGATGAATAATGAAAATCATTATGCTCAAAATGCACACTATTCATTTACTCGTAAGAATTTGTTGTCGAATCTACAATGCACATTACGCATGTAATGTTTTTGGAATTAGGCGTTCCATATTTTGGGAAGCATTTTTCAAAATGCTTGATCTGTGTGAAACTGGCACTTTTTGGTGACAGCACATATTGAGATTAGTAATAGATGGGATGTATTACATGCATCTTACTTGGCTTCTTACATTTGCTTGTACCTGAGTTTTCAGAATTTGCTTTATAATTCTCATTAGTTAGGGGTGATAGCTTGATTCGATGGTTAATCACGAGGTCTGTTTCAGGGGATGCCCTCATTGCATTGAAGGATGCGCTGAATGCTTCAACTGATCAGCTTAAAAATTGGAATCAAAATCAAGTGAATCCATGCACTTGGACCAAAGTTACCTGTGACTCCAACTATAATGTCACTCTTGTGTAAGTAATGCTCTGATTAATTTTTGATTTTCTTCTGACAATGATATGCATGATACTAGAATGTTTGCAGCATTTCAGTGAGGTTATGGCTTATGAATCAATTCTTCACTTTTTAGTTTCCTATCTTCAGACCTTAAATCTGATGTTTGATTATTATATTTTTTGTTTGCAGATCATTGTCCTCCATGGGGTTTTCTGGATCCTTGTCCCCTAAAATAGGAGCTCTGAATACCCTTCAAACACTGTATGTTTAGAGAACTACAGGCTGGCTACAATTAATATTCCTGAAGCTATTTGTGTTAACTTTTTGCATTGGAATATTGTTCCTGGGAGTTGAAGATTTTATATATAAGTTTATAGAACTTAAAAGCATGGACACATGATATTACACAGACACAACACAAGCAAGCCGACATGGCAATTTTCAAAACCTATAGGACACGACACATGGGGAATATGCACAAAATATATGATTTTATATATTTATTTTATGTCATATATATGAATATTTCATTCAAAGTTAATAAAAATATACAACATAATACGAATTTGTAAAGTGTAAAGAAGGATTTATTACTAGGAACAGAACTATGGTGATGCTTTCCTAACTAGCAAGCTTCACATTCGAGCTTAGACACATGACTCAAACAACAAACTGCTAACTTAAGCTTAGCCAAAGACGGATGACCTAGGCGAAAATGTCAATAAGTGGAGAGATAGTAGTGCTTAATGCAATGGATGGAGGGAGAGGAGAGCGATCAGGATCCAGGTAGTATAAGTTGCCCTTCTCATGCCCCGAGCTAATCATCTTCTTGGTTGTGAGGTCCTGCATGACACAAGAGGTAGGAGAAAAGGTTATGGAACAATTTAAAACCTTAGTCAGCTGATTAACAGCAAGTAAATTGAAAGGAAAATTAGGAACATAAGATAGAGATGTGGTGGAATGAAGAGTACCCTTCGCAGTAACAGGCCGTGAGGACCCATCGGTGAGAACAACATGACGAGTAACAAGATGTAATGTAGTGAAAAGGGATGAATTACCAGACTTGTGAGAACTAGCTCCAGAATCTATGAGCCAGGGTTGAGTAAACTTGCTAGCCATTGTGGTAGTGGAAGATGGGGGTAGAGGATCATGAAGAGAATGAACAAGTGAAGTAAGCTCGCTAATCTGAGTAGTAAGTGCCTCATGAAAATCAGAAGTAGGAGCTACAGATCCAGAGGGAATAGAATTTGGCTTGGATGGAGAAACATCATTTGTAACCCGATGCACATAACCAGGCTTACCATATGTTTACAGCCCAGCAGCGGCCACATTTGGCAAGGCCTTGGAAGATCCAAACCTCCTAATAACAGTCTTGGCAGCAGAAGCATAAGTGACCATGACAATGACAACATCGAGTATAATGTGAATCACAAACACTACATTAAGGCAAATTAAAGGATCCCAAAATCATATTGGTTACATATACATATTAGTAAATATAGAGGCAAATCAAAGGATCCCACTATTTCTATTCACACACCAATTTCAGATTCATTGCAACAATTCTGCAGCTACTAGAGAGAAAGGGAGAGAGGAGAGGGAAAATATACATGCATATATATACATATTGAGAGAGAGAGAGAGGGAGGGAAATGGCGGAAAGAGGTTTATGATTGAGGTGTAGCCGGCAAAGGAGGCCAGGGATGGGAGGCCTTCGATTGACTTGTGTATCACAATGTATTTGCAAATGATGGATTTCATCTGTGATTGAAGGCATGGATGGCTGTTGGGATATTTTCCGGTGAGATTGGACATCTCCGCCACCGCCGCTGTCCAGACCTTTATTCCGCTCTCATCTCTGTCCTCTTTGCCATCCTCTGCTTTGCGCATCTTCTGGGTAAGCTGCGCGAGGGTTGGAGAAGGAGGGTGTGCTAATATGTGATACGTTACATGGTAAGATTAAAATCGGTATTGATAAATGATGGCTGTAATTTTGTGTGGTGCAAAAAATTGATAATTATATTAATTTCAAATATTAAATAAGATAATGCCACGTGTATTGGAAAAAAAAATTCCATTAGTTTCTTTAGACGGAGACAAACGGCTGGCTAAGATTGGGATCAAATAAACAAATCAGGGTTTGATTTATTTCCAAGGTCAACCCATTTTTTTTTTTAAATTTTCCCAAATAATTTTTAAGCTGATGTAGATGGATTTTCGATTAATATTACAAGGGACTGTCAATTTTCTCTCTCTGAATTAGGTTTCTCTTTCTGACTTGCATACTGATCTTTGGTTCAGTTCTATGTGATGCCACATAAAAGAGATGCCTCACAGCTGTTAAAATTTAATATTTGCTAAGCGAAAACCTTCTTGGTACTGGAACATGGCCCCCTGGGTTTCAAAGAACATTCTCATATTATTTCTGGATGAATCTTTTTTCTCTATCTGGTGACAGATGTGCAAATGAGAAATTTTTCACTCTTATTTCCTCTATTAATATGCTTGATTTTTATTAATTAATACATATTAGAAGTGTTCATCATGCAGTTCACTGCAAGGAATTGGTATAACTGGTGAGATACCAAAAGATTTCAGAAATTTAACAAGCTTGACTATGTTGGATCTGGATAATAATCATTTAACTGGTTCTCTTGGCAATCTCAAGAATCTTCAATTCTTGTATGTGATACTTTCTGCATTAAATTCAAGGTTTTAAAAAGCGGCCGCAACCGTTACGTAACGCCGTTACGTAACGGTTTTGGCGGTTACCGCCACCCGTTACGGCCGCTTTTGCAGTGTGATTGGTGAGATTGAATCCTTATACTTTGATACTATGTTAACAACAAATTGTTCTAAAAGCTTAAGTTATTAGAGATGGCGTAATTCAATTATTATAATTTCAGCAGAAGTGTTACAAGAATAGTTTTAACAGTTTTGGTTATGTTTGTAGTTATTTTATGTTATTATGGGTGTAAAATAAGATTAGCCCCCCAACAATGAAACCTTTTTTTAAAAATAGGGTAAATTACGCTTTTCCATTTTCACACACACACACACACACACTTTGCGCTTTTATGTTTCAATTTTTTCCTAATTTACCCCTAAAGCTAACTTATATTCAAAATTAGACAGAAAATACCACGTTAGTTGCCACATGACAAAAAATAGCTTATTATACTGGGGTTTGGATTTGTGTCAGAAGTGTGAGATATGTATAATAAAATATTTTTATGCCAAGTGGCTATCAATGTGTCATTTTTTGTCAAATTTTGGACATAAGATAGCTTTTGGAGTAAATTGGGAAAAACTTGAAACATGAAGGGCCAAAGTGGGGGAAAAAAACTTTGAGGTCCAAAGTGGGAAAATGGCCAAATATAAAGGGGTAAAGTGTAATTTACCCCAAAAAATAAAATAACATCTCATTCTCCTCTTCTTTTCTTTTTCCTTCCATCATGTTTGTATTTTTTTTTTTTTAAAAAAACTTAGATCAATATAATTTATTTGCCTACAGTGGGTTCCAAAAATTTATTGCAAGAGCGAGATTGTGTTCACATTGCTTCCATTTGATGTTGGTCAAGTATCTGAGAAGCGTTGACAAAGTGTCCAAAATTATTAAACATATTTTCACAATGTAGTAAAGATATGGATATGGGACACGGATGCAAACACGCTATTTCAAAACATACATGCTGGAGCATCAAATCCCAAAAATGCAAGCCATTAGCATGGCAGGGACAAAATATATGAATATAATCTGATGTATGTCTCAGCTATACAACTTTGATTAGTCTTTGAAGTTTTTTGTGTTGAGAATCACATGAACTGGGAAGTCAAGTTCAAATAGTTTATTAGATTATTGTTGCTACGCCTTTACAAAGTGATCCTATTTTATTCCGAGAAGTGTGCATTGTGTACTTGTGGTTCCATGTGGTTAATGCAAGTTTTTCAGAAAATAAAAAATAATGAAAGAAATGCTGGACACTTTGGATTGTGTTGGGTAGTATTTAAGATGGGTTGTCAAATGGTCCAAAATGATTGAATTTATTTTTGAATCATTGACATGTCCATGGGGTATTTAACATGTGTCTAGGAGTCTCTGAAATGTTGGTGTTTTGTGTGTCTTAGTTTTCACATAATGAACAGTTAGATTTAGTAAAACGAAAAAAAGAGAGAAAAGGGAGGAAAAGAAAGACAAACGTTGTCATGCGACAATGAGAAGAGAGTAAAAAATTAAGGTTCTCTCTCATCTACTAACCTTTATATTAATCAAGTCATAAGTACAAAAATGCCCTTGGGATAAAATAACATAAGACTTAACTGAATTTATCCAAGAAGTGATTGGTCACCTGTTTGGAAGTTCAGCGATCCTTGGGTAGTGGGCATCAGTGGGTTGAATCACTGGAAAATATACTCTCAAATTGGGCCTCCATCGTTTGCAAATGTACACAACAAAGCCAAAGGACTATTCACTTTTCTTAAATCCTTTTATGGTTGAAAGAATTCTATCAAATGATATTAAATTTCTATTTTTTTTATCAGTGACAATTATTTTGTTATATAAAAATTAGCGAAAAAAGGAAAAAAACAATTCTAAAGGGAGTAAGAACTTTCATTAAACTGGATTAGGGTTTTGGACATGGAAATGCAATACTTTCACATTCTTCAGAGTGTGTGTAGGGGTAGGCTTATATAGATGACTTGGGTGGAGTACGCAGTGGTAGTTCTCATTGCAAAAGTTGCTCTCTTTTAACGGAAGATGAATAATGAAAATCATTATGCTCAAAATGCACACTATTCATTTACTCGTAAGAATTTGTTGTCGAATCTACAATGCACATTACGCATGTAATGTTTTTGGAATTAGGCGTTCCATATTTTGGGAAGCATTTTTCAAAATGCTTGATCTGTGTGAAACTGGCACTTTTTGGTGACAGCACATATTGAGATTAGTAACAGATGGGATGTATTACATGCATCTTACTTGGCTTCTTACATTTGCTTGTACCTGAGTTTTCAGAATTTGCTTTATAATTCTCATTAGTTAGGGGTGATAGCTTGATTCGATGGTTAATCACGAGGTCTGTTTCAGGGGATGCCCTCATTGCATTGAAGGATGCGCTGAATGCTTCAACTGATCAGCTTAAAAATTGGAATCAAAATCAAGTGAATCCATGCACTTGGACCAAAGTTACCTGTGACTCCAACTATAATGTCACTCTTGTGTAAGTAATGCTCTGATTAATTTTTGATTTTCTTCTGACAATGATATGCATGATACTAGAATGTTTGCAGCATTTCAGTGAGGTTATGGCTTATGAATCAATTCTTCACTTTTTAGTTTCCTATCTTCAGACCTTAAATCTGATGTTTGATTATTATATTTTTTGTTTGCAGATCATTGTCCTCCATGGGGTTTTCTGGATCCTTGTCCCCTAAAATAGGAGCTCTGAATACCCTTCAAACACTGTATGTTTAGAGAACTACAGGCTGGCTACAATTAATATTCCTGAAGCTATTTGTGTTAACTTTTTGCATTGGAATATTGTTCCTGGGAGTTGAAGATTTTATATATAAGTTTATAGAACTTAAAAGCATGGACACATGATATTACACAGACACAACACAAGCAAGCCGACATGGCAATTTTCAAAACCTATAGGACACGACACATGGGGAATATGCACAAAATATATGATTTTATATATTTATTTTATGTCATATATATGAATATTTCATTCAAAGTTAATAAAAATATACAACATAATACGAATTTGTAAAGTGTAAAGAAGGATTTATTACTAGGAACAGAACTATGGTGATGCTTTCCTAACTAGCAAGCTTCACATTCGAGCTTAGACACATGACTCAAACAACAAACTGCTAACTTAAGCTTAGCCAAAGACGGATGACCTAGGCGAAAATGTCAATAAGTGGAGAGATAGTAGTGCTTAATGCAATGGATGGAGGGAGAGGAGAGCGATCAGGATCCAGGTAGTATAAGTTGCCCTTCTCATGCCCCGAGCTAATCATCTTCTTGGTTGTGAGGTCCTGCATGACACAAGAGGTAGGAGAAAAGGTTATGGAACAATTTAAAACCTTAGTCAGCTGATTAACAGCAAGTAAATTGAAAGGAAAATTAGGAACATAAGATAGAGATGTGGTGGAATGAAGAGTACCCTTCGCAGTAACAGGCCGTGAGGACCCATCGGTGAGAACAACATAACGAGTAAAAAGATGTAATGTAGTGAAAAGGGATGAATTACCAGACTTGTGAGAACTAGCTCCAGAATCTATGAGCCAGGGTTGAGTAAACTTGCTAGCCATTGTGGTAGTGGAAGATGGGGGTAGAGGATCATGAAGAGAATGAACAAGTGAAGTAAGCTCGCTAATCTGAGTAGTAAGTGCCTCATGAAAATCAGAAGTAGGAGCTACAGATCCAGAGGGAATAGAATTTGGCTTGGATGGAGAAACATCATTTGTAACCCGATGCACATAACCAGGCTTACCATATGTTTACAGCCCAGCAGCGGCCACATTTGGCAAGGCCTTGGAAGATCCAAACCTCCTAATAACAGTCTTGGCAGCAGAAGCATAAGTGACCATGACAATGACAACATCGAGTATAATGTGAATCACAAACACTACATTAAGGCAAATTAAAGGATCCCAAAATCATATTGGTTACATATACATATTAGTAAATATAGAGGCAAATCAAAGGATCCCACTATTTCTATTCACACACCAATTTCAGATTCATTGCAACAATTCTGCAGCTACTAGAGAGAAAGGGAGAGAGGAGAGGGAAAATATACATGCATATATATACATATTGAGAGAGAGAGAGAGAGGGAGGGAGATGGCGGAAAGAGGTTTATGATTGAGGTGTAGCCGGCAAAGGAGGCCAGGGATGGGAGGCCTTCGATTGACTTGTGTATCACAATGTATTTGCAAATGATGGATTTCATCTGTGATTGAAGGCATGGATGGCTGTTGGGATATTTTCCGGTGAGATTGGACATCTCCGCCACCGCCGCTGTCCAGACCTTTATTCCGCTCTCATCTCTGTCCTCTTTGCCATCCTCTGCTTTGCGCATCTTCTGGGTAAGCTGCGCGAGGGTTGGAGAAGGAGGGTGTGCTAATATGTGATACGTTACATGGTAAGATTAAAATCGGTATTGATAAATGATGGCTGTAATTTTGTGTGGTGCAAAAAATTGATAATTATATTAATTTCAAATATTAAATAAGATAATGCCACGTGTATTGGAAAAAAAAATTCCATTAGTTTCTTTAGACGGAGACAAACGGCTGGCTAAGATTGGGATCAAATAAACAAATCAGGGTTTGATTTATTTCCAAGGTCAACCCATTTTTTTTTTTAAATTTTCCCAAATAATTTTTAAGCTGATGTAGATGGATTTTCGATTAATATTACAAGGGACTGTAAGAATTTATGTATTATTGATTAATGTATATTGATTTCTATTACAATGATTCATGATTCCTATATATAGAAAAGGGTGAGTGTGTAGTAGGTAAGGAGTAGGTGAAGTGGAGGTGGTAGTGGTGTAGTGGGTTAGGTTTAGTGGAGTAGGTGA